TCTCACTCACTCAGTCACTCTCTCACTCACTCAGTCACTCTCTCACTCACTCACTCAGTCACTCACTCTCATTCACTCACTCAGTTACTCTCTCTCACTCACTCTCATTCACTCACTCAGTCACTCTCTCACTCAGTCACTCTCTCTCTCACTCAGTCACTCTCTCTCACTCACTCTCATTCACTCACTCACTCTCTCTCTCACTCAGTCACTCACTCACTCAGTCACTCTCTCTCTCACTCAGTCACTCACTCTCATTCACTCAGTTACTCTCTCTCACTCACTCTCATTCACTCACTCAGTCACTCTCTCTCTCACTCAGTCACTCACTCTCACTCACTCACTCAGTCACTCTCTCACTCAGTCACTCTCTCACTCAGTCACTCACTCTCATTCACTCACTCAGTTACTCTCTCTCACTCACTCTCATTCACTCACTCAGTCACTCTCACTCACTCACTCACTCACTCAGTCACTCTAACTCACTCACTCAGTTACTCTCACTCACTCTCATTCACTCACTCAGTCACTCTCTCTCACTCACTCACACTCACTCACTCAGTTACTCTCTCTCACTCACTCTCATTCACTCACTCACTCACTCTCACTCACTCAGTCACTCTCTCTCACTCACTCACTCAAGTCACTCTCTCACTCACTCACTCTCTCTCTCTGTCACTCACTCTTTCACTCAGTCACTCACTCTCTCACTCACTCAGTCACTCTCATTCACTCACTCAAGTCACTCTCTCTCATTCACTCACTCAAGTCACTCTCTCTCTCACTCTCTCTCTCTGTCACTCACTCTTTCACTCAGTCACTCACTCTCTCTCACTCACTCAGTCACTCTCATTCACTCACTCAAGTCACTCTCTCTCTCACTCACTCTCACTCACTCTGTCACTCACTCTCATTCAGTCACTCTCACTCACTCAGTCATTCTCATTCACTCACTCAGTCATTCTCTCTCACTCACTCACTGACTCACTCTCACTCACTCACATTCACTCACTCACTCTCATTCCCTGACTTACTCTCTCAACTCACTCTCATTCACTCACTCACTGACTCACTCTCTCACTCTAATTCATTCACTCACTCTCTCTCACTCACTCACTCCCTCACTCTCATTCACTGACTCACTCTCTCACTCTCATTCACTCACTCCCTCAGTCACTCTCACTCACTCACTAAAAGAATAAATAAATAAATAAATACACTTTTGCATATAAAGTTTACAAAACACAAATTTCCTTCAGCTACATCTGGCCCTATGACCAAAATTTTGAATACTAGGACCTGTAGAAATACCACACAGCAGCTAGCAGGGACGCTGTGTTGTATCTTTCTCTTCTATTGGCTGGACAACGGATTGATTGCTAGACACTGGGACCACGTGGACAAAGGCTACGCCTGGGGAAGAAGAGCTAGCGGAACCCACAGCTGAGGTCTTGATGGGAGGAGAAGCCACCACCCCAACCTCTGATCACTTACCTCCTCCACACTGTCTTTTCCAGAGAGAGACATGTTATCTTTAAGTTAGTTTTTCTGCCACCTTTGATTCCAATCATAAAGTGGTTAAGAGGACTCATGATTCTGTAACTTACTGTTCTTAAAGAGTTGGCAGAAAGAGTACCTTAATAGAAGCTCCAGCAAAGCGAGAAAGCTGTTTGATGTGCTGTCCCTGCTTGCCAATAATGGCGCCGACCGACAGGGCTGGGATAAACAGATGGACGGTCTCCGTCTCCGAGTGCTGTTTGAGAAGGAGCACAGGACATGTGTGCTTATTTGCGACAAAGCAGTCTTTTTTTATAGTTGACAGAGATAGGGGCAGTAGAAATATTTGGAAAGGTTTAGGAAAAAATACAGTAAGGCGACATGAATTTTATGAATTTACGAAGCCTAACAACATGATCTCATATACCATAGATACTCGTGTATAAGCAGAGTTTTTCAGCACATTTTTAATGCAGTTTTTGTGGTAAAATTAGGTGCCTCAGCTGATATTCAGATGGGCTCATACTCGAGCATATACACTGTGTATGTATGTTCATCCACAAAGCATTTGTTTTTAAATTCAAGTTTCCAGTTGGTCCGAAGGTTGTGGGTTGTTAAGCTATTTAGCATTGTCTCCCACCCACAACCATACCTGACTAGCTTTGCCTTTTCACATCCCTTATTATAAGTCATTTGTAAGGTTTGCAAAAACTGGGAAAAATTAATACAGAAATAAATTCATTTTCTCTACACAGTCTCCTGAGACTTTAAGATGCCATGGAGTTAATAAAGATTTTAAAAATCGGTAGACATTATGAAGTTGAAACAGAGGAGAGGTACATGGTCGACTGAATTGTTAAGTAACATTTAAACACATATTATCCAAGGAAGATGTGTAAGTAAATGAGATTCTGGGTCCTCCATGTCAACAAATCTAATGGTATCCTGGGACACCAACTCTACCCGCCCCCCGCCCCCTTCTAGAGGTCATGTAGGGTTCACTCCTGCAACATTTAGTGAACTACCAGAGAACTGATCTCGAGCAGTACTAACATGCAACTAAGAGACTTCCCTTTGTACTTCTTTATTGCGTCCAATTCTAGCATTCTCCGTGGACAGAGACATAGATAAATGAGGAGCCTAAAACGAACTGAAGAAGCAAGTGGATTTCATCTCGATCCTCTTTTCCTCTCACACAGCAGTTCACACGGCCTGCCTCGATTCATAGAAAGGACCAGTTCCAAGTTCAGTAATATCACCAGTGAGCTAAGGGCTCTACAATGCAGAAGCAATACACCTATCAATATATACTTCATTTACATTACATAAGAAAAACATGCTTCTAAGGATGAACTAACTTCAAGAAATATTTTTAAGATGTAATCTCAGTTGGTGGATCCCCACCACCTGCATTTGTGTAACTAGATGCACCGTATGCAGCAGTCTTTACAGGGAGGCATTACTTTAGTGTTCTTGTGCCTGCCAGGGCAATGTGACTCTGCGCTGTTGCCAGCTGGATAAGTCTCCCTGTGGCTTGACAAACACGCCTAGAACAAACCCACCGAGAGCGGACAGGCCTCCGCACCACACTCTGGACTGTTGGAGCTCATGAGAGGGGCCTGTTTGGCCTAGTAATGCTGTTGCAATTCATCAATCAAGGACAACAGATACATGATTCCATTCTTCACTGTTTCTATGGTGCCTCTCTTTGGAAAGTCACATCTCCTAGCCTGCCAGGGTTAAACAAGCACCCAAACCATCTCTCTCCAGGGGACACTTTAAGGTGCTTTGTTATAACTGAACAGACCAACTGAATGAAAACTGCCAGTGACCATAAACTGTGTCCAATGTTAACATTCCATTGCCATTCTGGCCCTTACCTTAAAGCCAGGCTTTTATCACAGCGGCATAGGTGGGGCAGTGCACCTCAGTAGGAATATTAGGGAAGTTCTCAAGAAAACCACCCCAATAAGACAACATGAATTTTATGAATTGCTAACAAATGAGCTAGTCTTAACCACATTAATATATATATATATATATGAGAATTCCAAATATTTGATCTTATTAAGGCTAAGTTTGATTTTCGGTCTAGGGCTAATAAAGACCTTTCAATGATCTGAGTAAATCTAATCTGTACCTTAACAGAATCTAGCCCATATTTGACTACTATTATCTGTTTCCTGCCCTTTGTTCCAGAAATAATTTTACTGCTACTTATACAACAGAGTGGGCACAGGAATAAGGGCATAGGGATCTGAACAGAAAAGATACAATGAAGGCAAAGTGCTGTTACACAAATTTGCAGCAATAAGTTGGGCTTTTTTAACAGTTTTATCTAAACATACAATTCATGCATATCAAGAAGAGCTGTCCAATCAATACCACAATCAACTTTAGAACATTTCCTTCCCCGTAAGTACTAAGCTTAACAACAATTAAAAAAATAAAGTGAAAACCACATGATTTATTTTATGTATAGGCAGAATAAACAAAAACTCATCTTGCTTAATCAAAATGAAGAGTACTGAGGCCCAGAAAGGAACGTTTCTCAATGTCATAGGGCACTACTGTCAGAGGTATCCTCCACATGCCCAGAGTCCCTAGTCCTGACCAGCACAACATGGGATGTATCTTAGCCTTGCAGACACTGGAGACTACTGCTGTGAGGGAGGGACACAGGGAAAAAAACTGTTGTAGTCTCCTAAGTTGGACAAGAGCAACATCAACCTGATGGAGGGCTGGGCGGCTGCCACTGCTCTCGTTGTCGACTTTTTAGGAGGCGAGGAGGGAGGGAGTCTCTGAGTGGTTCAGAGGCTTACTGCACTTGGCTACTGACCAAAAAGTTGGAAGTCCAAGTCAACCGACAGCTTCCCGAGAAGAAAAGCGGGTCAATCTACTTAAGAAAATCAGCCATTGAAACCCCAAAGGAGCACAGCTCTATTCTGAACAGACAGAGTCACTATGAGTCAGAACTGATTCAATGGCAATGGCTGGTGGTGGAGGAGTAAGAGAGAAATAAGACATCTAATGTGAAGGTGAAGAACAAACCTAGAGAAAAGCTGAAGCTCGGAAAGAGGCCAGTGAAGAAGGGCCTGCAGGCGGGTAGTGTGAACGGAAGAGGCAGACATGAGCATTAACAACAAGCAGTAACAGGAGGGAGGTAGGGATTGTTTGAAACCACCACACGAAACCAACAAAGCAGCATCTGCTGAGGGACACAGCTCAGAAGGCAGGAACTGCTACAAAAGGAGAGCAGGCAAACAGAAGGAGGTAGGAAGCATGCTGTCTGACACTGGGGATTGCCACAGTGCTGCCGAGTCCAAGGTCAAGGAAACGGGACAGTGGAGTCTTACCTCAGGCAAAACATGCAGAGTCGGCCCGCAGGCAGCTGACAGCAGGGTGGGTCAGGAACAGACAATAACTCAGGAGCTTAGCAAAGCAGGTGCCAAGGGGATCTTGAATTCAAGCATGAAAGTAGGATCCATTGGTGGACGACCAGATCAACCACCTTTGGTACATACACACAATGGAATACTATACAACCTTCAAGAATGATGATGAATCTATAAAACACCTCCTATATCATGGGTTAAACTGGAGAAAACAGCAAATCCTAAAAGGGCAAATCTTGTATGGAATTGCTATTATAAAAAGTTAAGAAAGTATTTTCGCACTAAAAAACATCCCACGATAGTTACCAGGGTAGGGCGCCACCACTTGTCTGCTTGTTGTACGGTGCTGGTCTGCCTGTTGCTGTGATGTTTGTTGGTTTTTCACATAGCAGGGTCACTTACAGTGAACAGTTTTGAGCAGAACTATTAGAAAAACACAGACTGGGATGAAAGAATAGGCTATCCGTTTCTGAGGGATTAGCCACTGGAAACCTTAAAAATAGCAGCAAACAATGAATGTCAGATATCGGGACAAAAGGAGAGGCTCGCTGGTTGGAAGACACTGCAAATACACCTGGGAAAGGGCTGCCTCCTCACAGTTGAGTCGAAAGACCGATATGGATTGAATAAAGTTTTGGGGATCTTCATTTGCAGATGGGGTAGGGCACAAAAATAGAAGGAATATCCTTTAATAATAGCAACATGGAATATATTAAGAATGTAGGAAAAGTAGAAAGTTGTCAAAAATGAAATGGAAAACATAAAGATGGATACCCTAGGAATTAACGAGCTGAAATGGACTGGTATTGGCCGCCTGGAGTCGGACAGGGTTTACTATGGCAAATTCAAGAGGAATGGTTTTCCATTCATTATCAAAATTATACATCTAAGAGTAAGTCCAGTTAATATAATTAATTATTCAAGTTTGCATACCAACGCTAAATCTAGTGAAGAAATTAAAAGAACTCTACCAATTTCTACAGTCTGAGATTGATCAAGCATACAATTAGGATAGAATTAAACTGAAAGTTGGAAAATAAAAGGAAGGAACCGTATGGCCTTGGAGGTGGAAATGAAGCTGGAAATCACATGATAGAATTTTTCAAGACCAAACATTTCTCCCTGAAAATACTTTCAACAACATAAATGATAACTATCATGTGGACCATACCAGATGAGATACATAGGAATGAAACGGACTACATCTAGGGATGATAGGATGGTGAAGTTCAATATATATGTTTTTTTTTTCCTTTAACCAATATTTATTGAAATAAATAAAATCTACAACACAGAAGTGTCCAATACCTATCATGCAAGTCTTCTTCAGAATGTGAGCTCTTAGAGATATGCTCTTGCAACAGTTTGGTATGTAAATTTCAATATTTTCTATTATATATACATTAAGTCAATGAACATAAAAATGCTTTCTATTTATAAATTAACTTAAAACTAAAATCTTACCATGTAGCTAGTTCCCCACATCTCTAATACATTCCCCACATTATGGTCAGCGTGGATTTTCAAAAATGTAATTCAAATTGTGTTATTTTACTGTTGATGCCTTTTTACGTAGTCTAGAAAAAGTTACCGAGCAACTTCCGGTCAAGGCATACATTGTTCTCTTGATCTAGTCGTGCCTATCTTTCTGATCCACATGACATCATCCCCATCTCCCGTTTTCCTCCAACAACACACTCATTTTGGTGGACTCTGCCATTTCTGCCTTTGTCACTGTTGTTTCTTCTGCTTAGAATTCCTCTTCCTCGCCTCTTTGCTTTTTGTGTGGTAAATTGCCATCCATCCATCCAAATTCAGGTCAAGCATGATCTCTTCTAGGTGTTTCTGCAGGTCTTCCCTA